TTTACCTCTGCAACACCTGAAAAAAGTTCACCTTTGCACATCCCTCCACTGCCCTCATATGGTTAGCTAGCTTTGCAAAACACAGCTGTCAGCAGCCGACGCCTCTATATAGTAACTCCCATTTCGGGTCCTATCTTCCCACACAGTGCACCAAGCGCACTTACTCACCGCTCTGCCTCTTCCCCACTGGCCGGCAATCATCACGCCTGGGGCATCGACTTCCATGCATTAAGCTGCAGGAGGAGATGCCCCACCCCTAAACACACTGCATACTGCACCCGCAGATATCTGTTCCTTCCCTGTCCCACAGTGAGTACAGAGGTAAGGGGGTTCTGTGGGAGCGGATGGTGCTGTCACTTCAGCTGTGCTTCTGTGTTTATAAGAGACAGTAGATATGGGTGTGCGCAGGGCCAGTGCCGAAGGTGGCAGAATGGCATTCTAGCTGGGGAAAAAAAAAAAAACCCTGATCACATCTAGGTCTTATTTTCGGGGTAGGTCTTATACTTTAGCAATTCCCAAAAATTGCACTAGGTTTTATTTTGGGGGTAGGTCTTAATTTAGGGGAAACAGGGTATTTAGAACCCACTCTAGCATTTAAAAAAAATGCTTACAGCCAACCATGACACCTTCTCCTGAGAAATATCTAAAAGGAAAGAAATCGGTTTTAAAAAATGTTGAATGTAAACACAAACATAGTGGGGTTTTTTGTTTTTTTAAAACTTTGACTGCAAAAGTGGAAATACACTTTAAATTTATTTTCCTGACACAATCCTTTTTGGCATAACTTTACCCATAACAACTTGATAAAAAATAAATGTTCAAGGAACATACATTCCACATTAATAATTATGCTACCAAAATTATTGTGTGCTGCAAATTGCCTCCACAATTGCTCTGGTTTGTTCTTGTTGGAGGCTGCCACTTTGCTGAAGCCCAGAGGCCCTGATCAGCAAGTAAATCTTCAGGCAGTCAGCAGATTGGTCTCTACATTTTCTGCACAGTGAAGAGAAATAGAGAGCAACTGACCATGTGCAGAGCAGGGTAAGACAGTAAATTACTGCATTTTAACCATTATAGGCACTTATTTCTAATGCTTTACATATGCTATACCTGCAAAACGAGCCAGCCTGAAGTGATCTTGCCAGTGTGCATGGAGCCTTAGGCACCCAAATTGGCTAGTTTTACACAGCAATGAAATGCAGTTGGTTTTCCTTCAGTTGCTAAAATTTAAATAGTAATAAATGCATGTTAACTGTACAATCTTTTTTAGAATTTACAAAAGGCTTAGGCTACTGTAGCAGAGTGCTTAAAGTCCAAACTGGAGGCCATATTTTGATGGTGACTGACAAAGTTGCAGCACACAGATAGATATCGAACTATTGGAAGAGGTGTGGTACCCCTTACAGCTAGTCACCATTATATTGACCAATTCAATTCTCCCACCCCTTTACACAATTACTTACAATTTACATTTTTGCTGCATTTCTCATGCTTATTCCCCACCTAGTAAGAGTGACGCACCCTCGGCCATCTACAACTTCCTGAAATATCCACGTCCCACATCCCAGATGGACGCAGCTCAACAAGTGCTCATTTTCATGCATGGCAGCCCTTGCTGTCCCTCTGAAAAGCAATTCGTGCTGGATCACTTTTGTAGAGGGTGTTAGGTGGCGAGATGTCACCTCATCATGTCTGTTCTGTTAAACCTTAAAAAGGCTAAACTGCCTGCAAAACAGAGCCATACACTTCATTTTCGCCACAGCTGAGAAGCAGAACATTGTGGCCATCACATATGTACAACCCTAAGCAGCTGCATGCCCTTATTTAAGTGGACGGTAAAACCAAAGCTTAACTGCCTGCTTTTACCGCCATAAGTAATGAGTGATTTTGACCCTGCTTAACTGATATCTTGAATATGCAATAACATAAATCAAGACACATAAAATAAAGACACAGAAACAAGACAGTTTTTATTGTACAGATCTTTAAAAATTCAAAAAATTGACAAGCATTTTCCATGACATGCGTACAAAGTTTAACATGACCTTAAAAAGATTAAAATTAAAAAAAAAGGAGAGATTGCACCTTCAATAATACATAAATATTTGTGGTTGGAAAAAGAATATAAAGAATATACAGTTACTGGGCAAAGATAGTGTGGATTACAATATAGTCTACAGGGAAATACATATAAAGAAACATTTTTTTTCTATAAACAGAAATACGGTAGTTCCATAGTGAACAGAAGTCCAGGCATACCTGTATGCTTTCTTGAACAATGGCCTGTGAACTGACTGAAGCAATATAGTATAATGATAGGGGAGGAAATGGCATAATACAATTCCCATACTGCACAGAGTTGGCTTCAGCGAATGTTATGCTGACCAGATAAAATCAGAATGTCTAGTTTTCTGTGGAGGAACCATTGGGTCACTGAGAAGTCATGTTTTTAACAGAGGGGGAAGCTGGAAACACGAACTGCTAGTATGAGTGGAAACAAGAGGGATCATCCAATGTTTGAAGCTAAATGAAGGAAAATAAGGACAGGATAAGCAGGCAGCAGTGTTGTCTTAATGCCCATAGACATTTGGTTTTTGCTAACCCTACCTAGACCACACATCGCCTCATGTTTATGGGCACCATTTCACAATAGGTAGGTAAAAAAAAAAAAAAAAAAAAAAAAAGTTTTAAAAAGTGAACTTGTGTGAAGTCCAAATCCTCTTAGCCAAGAGCTTTTCTAGAGACCAAGCTGTATAAAGTATTATTTTATCACTTGTTCATCCTGCACAGCCTAGGATCTCTTAATACCTATAAGTATTCCATGCAACAATCCCCAGTGTTCCCAACAGGTTACTCTGGCTCCAAGAACTGCACTGTGAAATGACAACAATGGGGGGGAGGGGCAGTTGTTACCTATTCTATTCTCCCTGAAGGGAAACCTTATGCTTCTCTTCTCAAACTCTCTCACTTACATGTTCTAGTTTACATTTGTGGACATGTTGTAGTCTGTTCCACATTTTGTACATGTTCTAGTCCTTCATATTTGTGGACCAGGCATGTAGAAAAACACCAGTGCTACCTACAGGTGAAACCTGGTATTGCAGTTTTATACAGCAAGCAAACAGAACGAACTGATGACCTCATCCCATATGCATTTATTGCACATGGCTGGCTGAATGACAGCCCCTGTCTCTGGCCATGCCCCTTTAATGCGCTTTGTCCTAATGAGCTTAATTAGGTGAAATGCATTAGAGCAGCATGGACATAGGCAGCGACTGTCATTTAGCCAGCCAAGTGCAATAATCACATACGAAGTGAGTTCATCAGTGTGCTTACCGTATAGCATGGAGAAAGGATAAGTTCCTGAAAGCCAGCACTGCAGACCAGAGGCTTTATTACAGCTCTGAGTGCTGCTTGCAGCATCAATTACAGTTTTATAATTTCAATATGACAACAGTAATTATATTGAAGGTGACCATACAGAGTGGATGGTGGTTGAGTGTTTGCACATATTCCAACCACCAAATTATTCCTCCTTGCCTAAAAAAGCATTAAGGCCCACTGCACATATCTCCTATACCTACTTACGAAAATGCTTTACAACATATACAATAGACACACTCAAAATGGATTCCTTTGATTCTCTGTACTGCTGGCTTCTGTCTAAAAGGCAGCAATGGCCTGTCAGAAGTCATTAAAAGTACACATTGGGGCCAATTTACAAAAACTGAAAGGGACCACTTACCCATAGCCACTCAGCACCGAGACAAAGTTCCTTTTGCTAGGTTATTATGTGCAGCTTTACAACTTTTCTACCAGTTTCTAAAAACCAAGCCTACTTAGCAGGCTGCTAGAGTTGTGAGCTGGCTTTCAATAAGAAGCAGGGATGAGTTTTAGCTGCTGCCACGTAGATTATTTATGGACCATGGTAACATAGCATTACTTTGAAAAAGCAGTAAAAATGTAATAAAGATGTGGAAGGTCGCTTAAGTATATGTAAACTAACAATTAACACCTCTTCTTTCCTCCCTTTTTGGTATGCTAAATATTTTGTTATATCTGTTTAATACATGTAAAAAATACCTGTTGATTTGGCCAGAAATCTTGTGAGCTGGTAATCTCAGCAGGGTTGACAACATATGCTTAGGAATTCAGAGCTGTGTTGTCGTGTCAGAGGAAGGTAGGGGCACACTATTTCTGGCACATTAAAAGTTATTTTTCTTTACTTGCAGAATGTTCTAGGAGATGAAACATGGGGACCTGTGCATGAAAAACAGACTAAATATTTTTTTGCCTTGACATACACTTTCGGTTTGATATCGCCTCCAACAAAAAGGGGACAAGACTCAGGTTTAAAAAAAAAAAAAAAAAAAAAAAATACCAACATTCTGCTCCACACCCCAAAGGCAGCACTAGCACCTGGTATAGTCAGATAACTTGATTGTGTAGCAGGACCATGAGACATGCAGGATTCAATCCTGCACCATTCAATAGATTATTGGTTGTAAAACACAACCTAGGTAGACTCTCTCCCCAAACTTAATATTTATCTGCTAAAGTTGCTGGAGACTAATTCAAAGGAGAAAAGTTTGACTGGTCCTGATAAACAGGATCAAGCAATAATGATATGACTTCCATGGGTAATATAGTACATAGGAAGGCTGGGAAGAGTAGTTTGTGTTTACATGATTTTGAAGACCCTTTTAGGAGTCACCATTTATTGCCACAAGCCAGCCGTCAATGCTAGACAGATTAAAAAAAACACTCATTTGGCCAGTGAAACGGTGTAACTAGAATCATGAAGTGATTATGACATGAACTATGAGTTCTTGATTAATGATTTCCAGCACCCATTAGGGATGCTTGTCAATACCTTGCAGACTCCTTAACTGATAGAACACTTTTAATGTGTCCAGCAGGAGACCAGTACAGATATATACAGCTAAGATGGTGGCTGTGTGGCAACACACTGATTTGCTGGAAAGTGGGCCAAGGCTTGATCACATGGGGGAAGATGCGCAGTCCGAAGTCAGTTCCATGTCAAAAGTGACACTATCTGTGGAAGAAACAGATGAGGAATATAGTAAGAACAAATCAACAGTCAATAAATACTGTTGTTACTAACTCATTACTGCTAAGATCTTATGTCTCTGCCCAATCTACATTAAAATAAGGTGGTTTATATACAGGAACTTAATATAGTAAGGAAAAAGTTATCAATTAGCAAGTATTGCTCCAGCTATACTAAGGTTTGTATTTTGATACTGAATATGGTCATCAGTTTTAAAGGATAAGTTCACCTTTTGTAACATGTTACACCCTGAATATGGGTGTAACATGCTACAATCTAACCAGTCCCGCTCCCCCCCTTGACAGCTAGTGGGGGATTTCCTCTGTCACCACTACTCCCCACTAGCTGTCAAATTTCAAAAAAATGTGCCCGTGCAGGGCTCCGCTGGTGCAATGCTGTACAGGCTCCTGCAGACAAAAAAAAAATGCACATTTTTTTACCTGCAAAAGAGACATTTATTATTTTTTCCTAAAAGGTGAACTCATCCTTTAAATATAACTTTATAGAAGTCCTTTTAGTTAAAATAGGAAGAAAAAAAACGCACCAAAAGGGGTCCCAGAACATGCGTCAGCCCCCTCTGGAGGAAACTGCATCAATGAATCCAAGGTCCGAGGAGACATGGGCAAGTCTATCGTGTTGCTACATGTTGTCCTATTAAAATAAAGAAGACAAGGACTAATGAACATATTTTATAAACAGCACAGCAGTGATTAGAAGCTGGAACACTAGCATAGAAAGTTCACTTGCTGGGCAGAATAGGCTATGTAGGGTTTCTGACTGATTGTGCCTCAGCTGCAACTCACAAGGTTACAATTAGCAGCAGCATCAGTTCGACAGGATTCTGAGAAACGCATGACAATGGCAAGAATTTGAGGAAATCCTTTAGCGTTTTACTCTGTTTTCAGCAAACGGGCAAAAATATAGAAGCTGGTCAAAAATCTTTGATTCTTCCACAAATGTTAATAGTAACCAACTGTCAATTATTACAAAGTCATTGGAGATAATTCCAAACACTTCCTGTCCTTGCAACACATTGTCAGTCTTCCCTGTGCACAGATTGCTATAAAAACCCAATGAAGGTTCTGATCGGACTTGAAAATAATGTTTTTTCTGGAGATGGGCTTTACATTTAGTTTTTCGTGCACTCTGGTAAATCAGAAAATGCGTAATGTAAGAGAAAAATTGCATGGCCTGCGATCACTGTAGAAACTGCAGTTGTGATAGAAGGCCATGCAATTTTTATAGGATTATGTGGAAGAATTAATAGAGAATTTGTGTTAATAGGTCATGTCTAGAAGCCAGTAGGCATTTTTAGCAACCCAGGTTGATATGCATGCAATGACAATGAAAAGAGACTCAAAAGGAATTTTGTGGCACTATAATTTTAAGCACATCAGCCACAAGTCTGGATTTGTTCATCACTGATAGAGGGATATTTATCACAAATTTCTCCATAATGGGAATGGGTATAGAATTATGAGAACCAAAAGCCAACTTACGGTGTTACACAAATAAATTTTGTCTTCAGATACGGGGCAGTGCCTGCATGAAAAAAAAAAAAAAAAAAAAAAAAAAAAAAAAAAGACAGCTGTAATATTTTAAAGCATTTTGCTAGAAAAGCTTTGTAGCTAGGAAAAACTAGTAAATGATCACACAGATCTTACGTGCTAGACAATCGATATTAACAAGTACGACATATAGGTCTCTGGATAGGGTATACATTTCAGAATGGAGAGTCTACTACTACCTGGGTCAGTGGGCTCGGGATGTTCCTGGCTCTCTGGGCGGCAGTACTTGCTGAAGGCTTCTTCTTTGGGGATGTCGGGGTACAGGTACACCAGAGGGGATACCAAAATGTTGGTGGCATCCATAATTTTGTAACCCATGATGATTTCAGCAAAGGACATGTTGTTCAGCTGCTGCTTTGTATATGGCTCTACCGACTGGATCTGTGTCTTACCTGGGTGTGAAAGCATCAATATAAAGAGGTAAGCAATCATATACAAAAAAAAAAAAAAAAAAAAAAAAAAAAAAAAACTGTAAAAGTTATCTCAAACTTTTCATACCACTGATATCTTTCTCCACCCAGGTGAAGGTGATACCACCCTCCTTGCTGCTCTCACTGAACCGCAGCAGGAATGTCCCAGGTGGTTTTGTGCTGAGAATGGCTCGTTCGCGCTCTTTGCTGATGAAGCCCATTATATACCTGCAAAGAATACATATACAGTCAGGTCCATAAATATTGGGACCAACACAATGCTAACATTTTTGGCTCTATACACCACCACAATGCAGTTAAAGCACATCTTGTTTGTTTTGTTTCATTTCAAATCCAGACTGTCAGCTTTAATTTGAGGGTATTTACATCCAAATCAGGTGAACGTTGTGTAGGAATTACAACAGTTTGCATATGTGCCTCCCACTTGTTAAGGGACCAAAAGTAATGGCACAGAATAATATTCATAAATCAAACTTTCACTTTTTAATACTTGGTTGCAAATCCTTTACAGTCCATTACAGCCTGAAGTCTGGAACGCATAGACATCACCAGACGCTGGGTTTCATCCCTGGTGATGCTCTGCCAGGCCTCTACTGCAACTGTCTTCAGTTCCTGCTTGTTCTTGGGGCATTTTCCCTTCAGTTTTGTCTTCAGCAAGTGAAATGCATGCTCAATCGGATTCAGGTCAGGTGATTGACTTGGCCATTGCATAACATTCCACTTCTTTCCCTTAAAAAATGCTTTGGTTGCTTTTGCAGTATGCTTTGGGTCATTGTCCATCTGCACTGTGAAGCGGCGTCCAATGAGTTCTGAAGCATTTGGCTGAATATGAGCAGATAATATTGCCAGAAACACTTCAGAATTCATCCTGCTGCTTTTGTCAGCAGTCACATTATCAATAAATACAAGAGAACCAGTTCCATTGGCAGCCATACATGCCCACGCCATGACACTACCACCACCATGCTTCACTGATGAGGTGGTATGCTTAGGATCATGAGCAGTTCCTTTCCTTCTCCATACTCTTCTCTTCCCATCACTCTGGTACAAGTTGATCTTGGTCTCATCTGTCCATAGGATGTTGTTCCAGAACTGCAAAGGCTTTTTTAGATGTTGTTTGGCAAACTCTAATCTGGCCTTCCTGTTTTTGAGGCTCACCAATGGTTTACATCTTGTGGTGAACCCTCTGTATTCACTCTGGTGAAGTCTTCTCTTGATTGTTGACTTTGACACACATGCACCTACCTCCTGGAGAGTGTTCTTGATCTGGCCAACTGTTGTGAAGGGTGTTTTCTTCACCAGGGAAAGAATTCTTCGGTCATCCACCACAGTTGTTTTCCATGGTCTTCTGGTGTTGCTGAGCTCACCAGTGCGTTCCTTCTTTTTAAGAATGTTCCAAACAGTTGTTTTGCCACGCCTAATGTTTTTGCTATCTCTCTAATGGGTTTGTTTTTTTTTTTTCAGCCTAATGATGGCTTGCTTCACTGATAGTGACAGCTCTTTGGATCTCATCTTGAGAGTTGACAGCAACAGATTCCAAATGCAAATAGCACACTTGAAATGAACTCTGGACCTTTTATCTGCTCATTGTAATTGGGATAATGAGTTCCCCTGCCTCCTAGATTGTAAGCTCGAAAGAGCAGGGCTCCCGAACCCCTCGGGTATTGTATTGTTTCGGTCTTGTCTCATGTTCTGTCCCCCTTGCTATTGTACAGCGCTGAGCAAACCCTTTGGCGCTATATAAATACTGTACAATAATAATAATAATAATGAGGGAATAACACACACCTGGCCATGGAACAGCTGAGAAGCCAATTGTCCCATTACTTTTGGTCCCTTAACAAGTGGGCGGCACATATGCAAACTGTTGTAATTCCTACATTGTTCACCTGATTTGGATGTAAATACCCTCAAATTAAAGCTGACAGTCTGCAGTTAATGCACATCTTGTTTGTTTCATTTCAAATCCATTGTGGTGGTGTATAAAGCCAAAAATATTAGAATTGTGTCAATGTCCCAATATTTATGGACCTGACTGTATCTTATGGTACAAGATTTCAGAGTATACGATAATACTATGAATCACACAAATAAATATTTCCAGTTGCTATATTGTTACAGGTCCTCATGGGGAGGCAGCAAATTTGTATGTGTTCAAACTCCTAACAGTCACCCTTCTCTCCAATTATATAGAATGTGTAGCCTACAATATTCACTTTGGGAATACAAAAATACAAATTCTTCTCACCAAATTATACCTTTTTCAGTGGGATACTTTATGTCACACAACACATTCCTGCTTAAAGAGACTTTGTGGAGAAGATAGGAGTACGAAGTTGTGCGCTGGTACATATACACATCCTCCTCTATATTGATGTAATTTGGATCTGATATTACAAGAAGATTACTCAGGCATTCCCTGAAAGTTGCTTCAGAGTTGCTTCAAATTCGCCTCAAAATAGTACTCAAGTTGCCTGGCAAAAGTCGCACTGTAAGTTGTGCGACCAGCAGGTCACAGTAGTGTGAACCAAGACTTATTGATTTTGCGCTGGTTTATTTTTAGGTTCATTTATGACACTAGGGAGTATTTGATCACTCCAGCTGTTCATTTTTATATCACATTATCTACAACATACTGCTCTGATTTTGAAATCTTGGCCTCTTGCCATTTCTCCTCCCACAGACCCTCAAGACTCATTACACAATTTTGTGCCACACCATTTCTTTCCACCCCTTAAGCTGCCTGAACCCTATGTTATAATGCAGTGCACTTTTTTTTTTAATAGCTATCATCCATGCTGCTTTGTCCTCTTTCTACAATTTTCTGTCACCCTGTCTTCTCTCATCCTGACATAAATGCCAAGTGGCACAAGTACAATGGGAAAAACACACAGGCTTTAATTTAGTAAGACAAGAGCATTATAACATGTCTAGTTACACAAAGCAAGCTATCCACTATGATCTTTTCATTACACTAAACCAAGGGTCTCCAAACATTCTAAACAAAGGGCCAGTTTACTGGCTTTCAGACTTTAGGAGGGCCAGACTGTGGCCATTGGGAGTAGAAATTGTCCTGGTGTCAGTGGGAGCAAACAATGCATCTTTTTAGGAGAGGAATAGCGCCCTAGATAGTCAAGTTGATAAGTTTTGAGAAAGATGGTGCAGGTTTATACTAGAGTGTACTGCGTTGACAAGGACCAAAAAGGTATTATAAGCATAATGTCCACAGACAGACTCCTCATATACAAACTCATCCATAAGAGGATAGGGAACCCTCCTCATGCTCGTGCAGCAGCTACAGCTACAAGAAAACTAGAGACAGAATCTGGAGAGGGTGTGGGAACATTTTTGTGAATCTTGCATTTATGACTGCACTCACAAGGCTGAGTCATAGTTGCAGAGAATGCAAAACAAAGGAGGGAGCTACACCTGAAGGAGAAAGGAGTGGACTGAAGCAGGGGGTAGAAATCGGGGCTGTACATGCGTCACTGCAGGCCACCCCAGTAGCACATTTTTTTTATTCAGGTTAGGTAGGATAGGTAGGAGGAGGACATTTTTATGAATAGTGAGACTTAGGCTTTTCCTACACTTTAATGCTGTTACCAGGTCACTGTAAGGCAGCTGTAAGGAGGAGGTAACCAAGACCTTGTGGGGAGCAAGCTGTAGCTGAAGCAGAGTGGAAGATACAGAGGAGAACACTCACAACATGGGAAGTCTTGTGGCCTCTGTGTGTGTGGGGATACAGCCCACATGTGCTGCAGCTAGTACAAGGTGTGACAAATTTGAAAAGCTTATGTGTGGCGCAGCACATACAGGGTGCAGGTGATAGATTGCAGGAAGTGCCTTGCCACTGTCAACAAAGTGTCCATGACACATTTTTAAACCCCCAAAGGAAGAAAGGGAAAACAGTGGGGGTGCTAGCTCCTAAGTAGGGATAGGTCCTACGTGCTTATCGATGGTGGACTAGATGTTTGATAGCAGCCCCTGTGGGGCATCCAGCACAAACTGGACAGAAGTACAGCACTGGACCTGTAAAATGCTCTAAGGCTAGCTTCATACAGTATACATAAGTGATCTAGAGAGCATCTTCAGAGAAATCCAGTGCCCGCAGGTCACAGTACAGGCTGGCCCTGCATCATCTTCTCAGCAAGATCAATCGTCTTCTCGGTCAATCAATCCAGAAAAAGAAAACTGCAGATGCTGTAGAATCACTAGCAAATTGAAAGATGATGGGAGTAGGAGGGATGATGCTGGGCTGTCATACATGTCCAATCTCCTGAAAGGAAGCTACCTAACCCTACATCACTGAATATTCTACCTGTGTCCCCTAATGAACACTTAAACAATATTGTGCACCAGTGTACATATCATGCACGTGAAGAACTTGCTGCTCCTATCTCCTATTAGTAAGCATTAAAGGCATATGTTCCAACAGGTTTGTTTCTATGGTTTAACTGTTACTTGTTACTGCTGCATTGATTCTGAATTATAACTAGTTATTGTGATGAAGCTATTAAAGAATAGATAATTGGGCTACCCCCTAAAAATGTAGTACACACAACAGTGGTGTCGAGCAACTCACAGCTGCAATCAGAAGCCAGATTTCATTAGTCTGTGAATGGCCAGCCAATGAAAGCTGCTTACTATAAATAAGAAAAGGTTCAACTACTGATTTTATGTCAACTCACCCTTCATTCCAAAGTGCGAGAATGTATTTCTTTACAAGGTCAATGATATTGTCCAGCCACACCCAGAATGAAAACCCTTTACCAGCCATGTTTTCCTGATGGGAAAAATAATTGTAAGAAGGGTACTAAAGCAGATACATTTAACCACAAAAACATTGCATGCAAATGTCATTTACTTTAAACCAGTAAGATAAACATTTGTACACAAATCACACTAACAGATATAAACACTGCTTTTATCATTTATATTTTTCACTGCTATTCTAAAGTACAAACCTATTAAAAAAAGAAGGTTGAAATCGCATCTGGGGTGAAAAAAGTTTAATTACATGTATATCTCTGTGCAACCAATCCAGAAAAAGTCTGGACAAATCCATACCTAACTCATGGTTTCATAGCAAACCAAAACTAGTTGTACTGCCTAGAGGTCTAGGGGATGTTGCTAAAAAAAAAGTGATGGTTGTGAAGTTTACACTTGGAGATCACACGATGTTAAATTACTTTAACATCACCACAATCTAGAGACCTATAGAAACCAAATTGTTTCTTCAGCTACCGTCTAAATATTAACAACACAAGCAGACTTTGAAACTATGTATACAAAAAAAAAAAAAAAAAATGGTTACTTTGCAGAATTTAGCCCAGGTAATTTGACAGCCGGAATAGTTTACTCCAGGACCTGAAGAAAAAGCAAGTAAGAGTACTATTAGAACACAAAATTATACCACTTCATCAGTGCACCCCCTGAAGTACTGACAGCTTACCCAGCAGTTTTTCGGCAAGTGTAGTTAACTGTTCAATGCTAAGGCCACGCTTTGTGGTAGAAGAGAACTGCCAGCTTAGGACCTCAGCCACCTGATCCCATGTGCCAATGGGAGGCTTGGTGAAAAAGTTGACGTTCTAAAAATGAAAACATTGACTAGCACTGTAATACTGACATATCACAGAAATGCATTTTTAATAATATCCATACAATAGGCAGATCTGCAATTTTTAGTAAAATATTTCTTCATTGCCTTTTCTGTTACCGCTTACATATAACAGCAAAGGGCTGTGTGCACAAATCAACTATCCTAGTACACTGGAAGAGACAACATTAACAGGGATGTGCGTTTTAGTTATCAGACCTTGGTTTGTACTGCTGGCTGTCAGAAACCATGCATTTTAAAGTGATACTAAAAGGTTCATGCTTTATTTTATTGCAATAACAAACATGTCATACTTACTTGCTCTGTGCTGCTCTGGCTCCTCGTAAACCCCCCCCCCCCTTCCTCCAAGTGCCTTCATAGCAAGCTGCTTGCTCTGGGGGCACTTGTGAATGCTTGCTCCCAAGCTGCCTCTGTGTCCATAAGCACGGCTCAACCCCACCCCCCACTCCCTTCTCACTAGCTGTGATTGACAGCAGCAGGAGCCAATAGGGCTTGAGTGAGAGCCGAGAGAGTCTTGGCTCTCATGCACATTGCTGGATCGGGATTAGGCTTGGGTGAGTATGGGGAAGGGGGGGTCTGCAGGGGAAGCTACACTCAAGAGGTTTTTACTTTCACGGATAGAATGGATGAAGGTAAAAAAAAAAACAAAAAAAAACCTTCTGCCTCTACTTCAAAGGCCCTGTTCATGCCTGTGCATCTTAGGTGTGGTACATTAGAAAGAATATAATTTTGCCACATCATGGATAAGCTTTCACTTTCAATAGGTTTTTATTGATTTTTTTTTTTTCAGTAAAAGTTCAAATACCTCCACGAAACATAAGGGAGGAGAACAAAAAAAAGGAAAACAAAAAACATATAACAATTCCAACAACAGAGCCACCTAGGCACACAACAGTGTAACAGGCAGAAGAAAAGGCAAATCAAAGTCCTGACATTGCATAAGAGGCCCGCCACAGAGTGGTATGCCACCAATAAACTCAACCAAAGAAAAAAAAAAAAAAATATGGGGGGAGGGAGGGGAAATAGAGGTACGCTCTCATCTTGGACAGGTAGACTGTCTGATACACGGGGAGTCCGACAGGTATCTGATCCACGGATCCCAAGTCCTTTCAAAGAGGGCCATCTTATCTTGTAGGATCACCAACAGGTGTTCATTTGTCATGATCCATGTCAACTTGGCCCTCAAAAGATAGAACGGAATCACAGGAGACTTCCAAGACCATGCAATGGAAATTCTAGCTGCCGTGAAAATGAATGTTATCAACAGTCGCACTGGTCTTGGGGCCCCCTCCACTGGGCTTCCCAGTAGGACCTGTTGAGGGCTTTTCCTGAGATTCATCTGGGTGAGAGAATAGACAAAAGGTATATGTGCGTATCCAGAATCACCTGACTTTCAGACACGTCCACCAAACATGGAGCACTGTCCCCGCTTGGCCACAGCCTCTAAAGCAAAGGGGCGAGGCATCCGGAACACAGGATGCCACCCTCACAAGTACCATGTACCATCTCAGGACCACCTTATCATTTGCTTCTATCAACGATGTGTTGATAAGAGGCTGAGAGGCATGTTGAGCTAGTTTACCCCATTCTGCTTTCTCCATCTGCTCACCCAGATCTTGTGCCCATCTTTCCATGTAAGGTAGTTTAGAGGAGTTGGAATGTAATAAGACATAGATTTTAGATATAAATCCATTAGGCTTATCATAGTTCTTGCATAGGTGTTCCATTGGTGTGGAGGCGGTAATATCCCCTGTACGCTTTAGGGTCACTAAATAGTGTGCTATTTTAATGTATCGGTACATTCCCGTGCACAGGAGCTGGTGTTCATTCATTAAGGATTGCTTTGACAGAGCACCCTTATGGTCGCATAGATCTGCAATGCGGAGGAAACCTTTGTTGGTCCACCAGTCAAAAGTATGTGGGTTGAGACCTGGGATGAAAGTGGGATTGCCCAGTATCGGTGCCAAGGGGTTGTGTGGGAATTCAAAATTGTGTTGGGCAGCCAAATCTATCCCAAGGCTAAGGGAAAACGATAGCGTTGGGCAAAGTATGGTCGGTCTATCTCGTGCTCATGGATAAGCTTTCATTTAAAACACCCTAGAGAGCTCATTGGTAAAGCATGTAAAATTAATCGAAAACGCAACACACCTAAAATGCACGGCACAAGTGTGAAATGGGCCAGAGTAGAAGAGAACAGGTCTGCAGAAATACTATACAGTCTGCACTGTCTGTTTGAATGTCAGAACTCACTATAATAGACTGCACTATCTGTACTTTTAAAGGTTCATATAAAAATCCTATGCACATCAATCTTTATACTGGTCCTCGTATATTCAGCCTACTGTTATCTCTTTAAAACCAAAGTATGAACAGGAGCCAGGTGCTGTGTAGTTTTGTGATAAAAGTAATACACCTTATATGGAGGTGTGCCTTTCATATGGTAAAAAATAGATCACCAGCCTGTGGCTTTAAGAAGCCAGGTTCCAAGATGGACGGCCCGTCCGCTCAGAGGGAAGCAGTAGAGAGTAGAATGCCTGTCAGTGCAGGGACCACGTGTATCCGACGTCCCAGCATCCCGGATGACGTCACCACTGATGTGGAGAGACGGAGGGGGGGGGGGGCTCTGTCACTGAAGCCGCAGCTTTAGAAGGAAGAGGTCGGTTGCCAGGACAACATGTTTCACGTTCATGCGCTTTATCAAGTCTCTTGATACTTGATAAAGCGCATGCGCGCAAAACATGTTGTCCTGGCAACCGACCTCTTCCTTCTAAAGCTGTGGCTCCAGCGAGAGTCCCTCCCCCCCTCCGTCTCTCCACATCGTGGTGACGTCATCCGGGACGCTGGGACGTCACACATGGTCCCTGGACTGACAGGCATTCTACTCTCCACTGCTTCCCTCTGAGCGGACAGGCCATCCATCTTGGAACCTGGCTTCTTAAAGCCACAGGCTGGTGATCTATTTTTTACCATATGAATTATAATAAAGGCACACCTCCATATAAGGTGTGTTACTTTTATCACAAAACTACACAGCACCTGGCTCCTGTTCATACTTTCTACAAACCGATGTGTTTTTACCATGGCAGCAGTGAGTTTTTTTCCCCCCACTAATCACAGTTGACATATACCATTCACTTATTTTTCACTTATTTCCTTTGGGACACATCTGTGCGCTTTTATCCAGACCGTTCTTTAAAACCAAACCAGACCCTAAGTTAGCATGTATGTTGCAATTGTGGTTCCTACAATATTGTTTTACATGCGCTGTCTGAAATGTCGTCATTTTTACATATTTTTACAAAATAGTAATGAAGGTGGAAATGGCTCAAGTAAAGGGGTTGTGTCAGTCTGATGTTTAAAGCAATCTATTACGTCATTGGCAATTCTCTGGGTCAGTCAATTCTATCTGATGACTGCTTTGTATCTGTAACCCTCCCCATTTCTTCCAATGCTTATGTTACAGTCCATCAGTGCGAAATACAAACGTTACAAGAAAGTTATCCTATAATAATTCTGTATGGTCAGATGTGTGTTATCACTAAGTATTTTATAAGCAGTGCACATCTCTCACAGTATAAAGCACACAGTCCAGTACTTTACAAGTCAAAACACACAGTATTCTTAAATCTGCCTCAAACATTCACTAAAGTACTTGTGCTCATATTAGAACAAAAAAAGGTTATATTACGTTACCTTTGGGTTGTTTGTCAGCATGTTGTACCACAGGATTGAGGCCCAAGCATTGGGCATCTGACAAATGTTTTTGATATCACTACAACTGGTAATGAATGAGTCTTTACAGAAAATAAAAAACAAAAAAATTAACCATTACACCATTCAATATAAAATACAGCACATAAAACAGAAAAAAAATTCCTAATTTTTGCTAACCATAAAAAAACAGTGGAAGCAAGGTAATAATTTCAGCATGCTGGGCATTTAACCACACTTCAATAGCAGACACGTTTACCCCCTTCCTGCCCAGGCCAATCTTCAGCTTTCAGCGCTGTTATACTTGGAATGACAGTTGTGCGGTCATGCAACACTGTACCGAAATGACATTTTTATCATTTTTTTCACACAAATAGAGCTTTGTTATAACATTTTGCAAATAAATAATCTTTGTTCAAAAATTTAGGTCAAAATGTATTCTGCTACATTACTTTAGTGAAAATAACTCAAATCAGTGTTTATTATTTAGTTGGTAGGAAAGTCAGAAACTATGGTATATATCTGTAAATTGATCAATTCTGATGTACCAACCCATCTAATTTATTGAGGCCCAAAAACGTCAGGACAGCATAAATACCCCCAAAATGACTCCTTTTTGGAAAGTAGACAGTCTGAGGTATTTAGTAAGAGGCATGCCGAGTTTTTCTGAAGTTGTAATTTTGTGTTATAATTTTTTGGAAAATGAAAAAATTATTATTTTTTTTAACATTTTTTTTATGTAGTGTCACCAATGCAGTACAGAGTCATCCTCTGACTGGTGTGACAGTGATCAGGGACATGGACTGGTGAAAGTACATATTTAAAAAAAAAAAAAAAATCATTGTTTTTAAATTTGTGTTTTTTTTATCCATGACTAGTGCAATACAGTGTTACCATAGTAACACTGTACTATTCTGGGCAAGTGATCAGGATTTTTTTTTTTATGATGGCTTATACTAGTGAATTTCCAATGTATTGTTGTGATTAGCTGTGACTGGTCGCAGCTAATCACATACCACAGATGGGCTGTGATTGGCCTTGTCTGTACCACGTGATCACTGTGACCAATCACAGCTAGCAATACAAATGTAAGCAATGAAAGGAAGCCATTTATTGTTTGCAATTGTCATGTGATCTGCTGATTGGTTACAGCGATCACATGGTACCAGCAGCAGGCTAGTACAGTGACCAGTCATTGGCTGTGTTCGTTGGACACAGCCAGTGACCGATCGCATCGCAGTGCACCCCCCCTCCCCTGCGCTCAAAGCGTGATCTGGGAGGATGTCATATGATGTCCACCAGGAATGAAGAATATTACAATAGGCCGAGAGGGAACAGGTTAAAAAGAGAATCAGTCTTGAGTACACTTATACATGAGTTTAAAAATTCTCTGTCTACACCTGCAAAACATCATCTGTTAAAACTATACATTTCCTCTTTTTTTGTTTCACCCTACTCTGTGCATGATCCTTGGCTATGGGAGGAGTCAAGGACATTTGCTGCCAAATCTCATAAGCCAAGTTATACTCCGTACAGAGTTATAATGCCTGAACCCATAACAGCAACTATCACACCTCAGGCAACTCTAACATGAGTTTCAGAGTGATTAACTAAAGCTAGTAATGGGTAAACATACATCTCTCTCACAATTCTGCTGTTATCTGTTCAGTTTTCCTGAGTGTTTATTGGCTCACGAAAACGTAAGTTATATACAAAAATGTAATCAAATAGCACATCTATAAAATTATATGACATATACATTTTAATTTAAAAAAAAGTTCATGCACATTCAGGAAGTGTGTCTGACCCATGGTATTTTGAGAGGAGAATGCTCCTTCAACCATCATAATAAACCTTTGCTGCTGAATTTCTCACCTCTAGATCAATTTTTAAGCCTTGATGGTATACTTCAGTCTCAAAGGTAATTAAATGAAGCTCTTCAGTAACAATAAGTGATGCCTGAAAAATAAAATTGGTAACATAAAAAAACAACACTTATAATTCTCTGCAGGCTAGCCAGCGGGGCTCACCATGGTTTGTATTTTTCAAGCAAATGTACAATACACACTGGTACACAAAACTGGAATGTCCTCCAGAGCACTGGAGTTGAGATACTACAAGCTGGAGGCCAGAGGTATGCTTCCCCCTGACACCTTCCTTCTTGTGATGCTATGAGGATCATTTTAAAATTGCTGTCAATTTCTGTATGAAAAAGAATTATAATATGGGTATTCACACTTTTAATAGCTGGCATTTTAAAGTATGAATTGGGACTTTTGCATATCTGTGACAACCTTGAATGAAAATGATTATGCATTTGTTATGAATTATTTGTATGCCTAAAATCTGCACAATGATAATACCTTAGTTAGAGGAGTACTGTGCTTAATTCCTCTCAAATCAGTCTCTCTCAACCTTTTTACCTCTGAGGAACCCCTAAAATAATTTCAGGCCTCAGGGAAACCATATGAAAACCAATTAATTAGGGATAAATAGGATAAATGCCCTTTACATTGAAGGTCAGTAGGAAAAATGCAACTTTTACAATGGTGATCAGAATGCAACCCTTATAAACAGCTAAAACGCTGTTTGGAGCATACTGCTGGTCTTGTCAACTAGTATTGGCTCAGGATGGGCCATCAGATGGGAGATTAATCAACCACAGCTTAAAGTGCTACTAAACCAATGACCATGTATTCATTATATCCAGTCTTCCACAGTACACAGAATATGAAAATGCAATTATTTTAGTAAACAAACTGCTAAATACCTTTTCTCATCAGCAGTATACAGTGAAGGAAATAAGTACTTGATCCCCTGCTGATTTTGAATGTTTGCCCACTCACAAAAGAAATGATCAGTCTAAAAATCGAATGGTATGTGTATTGTAACACAGACAGAATAGCAACAAAAAATTCAAAAGAAATGCAGGTCTAACAAATTATGAACGGATTTGCATGTTCATGAAGAAAATAAGTATTTGATCCCCTTCACAAAACATGTCTTAGTACTTGGTGGCAAATCCCTTGTTGGCAATCACAGAGGTCAGACGTTACCTGTAGTTGGCCACCAGGTTTGCACACATCTCAAGAGGGATTTTGGCCCACTCCTCTTGGCAGATCCTCTCCAAGTCATTAAGATTTGGTGGCTGACGTTTGGAAACTCGAACTTTCAGCTCCCTCCACAGAGATTTTCAATCGGATTAAGGTCTGGAGACTGGCTAGGCCACTCCAGGACCTTAATGTGCTTCTTCTTGAGCCACTCCTTTGTTACCTTGGCCGTGTGTTTTGGGTCATTGTCATGCTGGAACACCCATCCACGACCCATTTTCAATGCCCTGGCTGAGGGAAGAAGGTTCTCACCCAAGATTTGACGGTACATTACCCCGTCCACCATCCCTTTGATGCGGTGCCATTGTCCTGTCCCCTTAGCCGAAAAACACCCCCAAAGCAGAATGTTTCCACCACCATGTTTGACAGTTGGGATGGTGTTCTTGGGGTCATAGGCAGCATTCCTCCTCCTCCAAACATGACGAGTTGATGCCAAACAGCTCGATTTTGGTCTCATCTGACTACAACACTTTCAACCAGCCCTCCTCTGCATCATTCAGATGTTCAGTGGCAAATTTCACACGGGCCTGGACATGTGCTTTCTTGAGCAGAGGGACCTTGTGGGCACTGCAGGATTTCAATCCTTGTCAGCGTAGTGTGTTACCAATTGTTTTCTTGGTGACTGTGGTCCCAGCTGCCTGAAGATCATTGACAAGCTCCTCACGTGTAGTTCTGGGATGATTCCGCACTGTTCTCATGATCATTGACACTCCACGAGGTGAGATCTTGCATGGTGCACCAGACCTAGGGAGACTGACAGTTCTTTTGTGTTTCTTCCATTTCCGAATGCCTGCACCAAATGCTGTCACCTTCTCACCAAGCTGCTTGGCGATAGTTTGGTAGCCCAGTCCAGCCTTGTGTAGGTCTACACTCTTATCCCTGACATCCTTGGACAGCTCTTTTGTCTTTAACATGGTGGAGAGTTTGGGAATCTGATTGTTTGATTGCTCCTGTGGACAGGTGTCTTTTATACAGGTAACAAAATGAAATTAGCAGCACTCCCTCTAAGAGACTGCTTCTAATCTCAGCTTGTTACCTGTATGAAAGACACCTGGTAGCCAGAAATCCTGCTGAATGGTAGGGGATCAAATACTTATTTCCCTCATGAACATGCAGATCAGTGCATCATTTTTTAGACACGCATTTCTTTTGAATTTTTTGTTGCGATTCTGTCTCTCCGTGTTATAATACACCTGCCATTTGATTTTTAGACTGATCATTTCTTTGTGAGTGGGCAAACATTCAAAATCAGCAGGGGATTAAATACTTATTTCCTTCACTGTATAGCAGTGTTGTGACTTCTATCCGAGCCCTGATTAATCTTGTAGGATGAGTTTTCATTCTTCTCTGACTGCCCTATGAGGCTGCATAATACCTGACCCTCTGTCTGGACAGCAGTGATTGGCCCTGTGACGATCACAAGCACCCTCTCTAGCAATACACACCAAACAGAGCATGTGCAGACTTGCCACTGCTGTTTTAACTGTGGCATATGGATTGGGGACAGCAAAAGATAGGGAGGATAAAACAACCTTTTTGTACATTGCAAAGGATTAACCCCTTAGGTTCCAAAGTGAGTATAACAAGCATGCTTTACTGCATATACAGACTGATTTTACGGATGTGGGTTTAGTAACACTTTAAAGGAGCCACAAGTGTTCCACAGAATGCTGGTTAAGAATGGCTGCTTTAAGTACTTTGCAAGTACATAAATATACCTGTTGATCTACCAGAAATGCATTCAGCTCCTAGATCTGAAAACACTCAGCATTTTTTTGGACTAAGCAATGTCAGTCGTGACCAGTTTTTGTTTTTACACATAGATCCGTGGCTTGGCCCTGTCCCTCTCTCTCTTCATTGGCTGACTGGCTGTAATTGACAGCAGTGGGAGCCAATGGCTCATGCTTGCTGTCTCAGTCAATGAAGAGG